TTACAAATGTGGATAATCAAAATTGTACAGTTTGCTAAAATTAGCCACGTTGTTATTTTTCAATGTGCCAAATTAATGTAAATGTTTGATGTTAAACTTTGATTCTGTAAATAAATGACCACATTCATTTTGATGAGTCAAAGATAAATAACGTCTCACGATACATTTTATTAAATTCAATGCACATTATATACAGTCCAGAAAAATGAAAGAATCCGTTTAATTTATGAATATATCTCATGCATATGTTCATCTACATACATAAAAATAATTTAACATTATTTATCTGAGGAGCAGACTGCTTTGAGTTCACAGAACTCTCATCCTGAGCAAGCGTGAAGGCGACAGTGGAAAGGAAAAACTCCCTTATGAGGAAGAAACCTTTAGCAGAACCAGGCTTAGGACAAGCGGCCATCTGCTTTGACCGGTTGGGTTTGATAGGAATAGATACACAATGGCAGGTCAAGAATCACACGTTAAGATAGAAATAATATCAAATGAAAATTATTCAATTTTAACAATTCATTTAACGAGATGAGGTCAATTTGTCCTCTATTAGTCTAAGCTTAAGACAGCATAAGAAGCCAACCCCAACTATAGGATTTATCAAAAAGGAAAGTCTTCAGTCCAGTCTTAAAACTGGACAATGTGTCAGCCTCATGGACAGAAACTGGAAGTTGGTTCCACAAGAGAAGAGCCTGAGAACTGAAAGATCTGCCTCCCATTCTGCTTTTGGAAACTCTGGGAACCACAAGTAAACCTGCAGTCTGAGAGCGAAGTGCTCTGTTAGGAAAATATGGAAATATAAGATCTATAATATAAGATGGAGCCAGGTTGTTGAGAGCTTTGTAGGTTAGAAGTAAGATTTTGAATTCTATTCTGGACTTGACAGGGAGCCAATGGAGAGAAACTAAAACTGGAGAAATATGATCTCTCCCACTAACTCCAGTTAAGGCTCTGGCAGCAGCATTTTGGATCAACTGAAGACGTTTTAAAGACGTATTTGGACATCCAGATAATAAACCATTGCAATAGTCCAGCAATAGTATATAAACTCCATAAACTCCAAATATAAAACATTTAGAGCAGTAGAGCAGTTTGTTGAAATGCTTTATTTATAAACCTAATTTAGAATTTCAAATTTTATGCAGTTATTCTTTTGTTTAGCTTTTTACACTGTTTCTGCCATTTGAGTTTATTTTGAAAGGATTATAGAGTCAAAACTATGGCCAAAGGTGAGCTCAGATTTAGTGTCACAATAAATCCCACTTCAAAAGATCTGACCCATCCCTTTAAGTCTTTCTAATGTCCTGATAAACAATGTGCAGTGTACGTGAGAACATAATTTGGCACGTTGCCTTCAAAGGCATTTAAAATAGATACTTCATGGCAGATGATAGAAGAGTGAAGGCAGTTTTCTTTCAGCACTGATTCTAGTAAATGCTCCTAAAAATGACCCGTCTAATTCGTACACAGGGACACGTTTATATACGTCTTGGATAAAACAGGTAGATGTTTGCTGTGTTTCTCTGTTAGGAAGCTCAGCAGGGAGTCCACTGCCCACTTTGACAGAACTGAGCATCAGCAGCTTGATCACGCTCTCGTTTCCTTGGCAATGCCAGCAACCACTGGGACTAATTTGAAGTCTGGCATGGTGACAGGATGTCTTTTATGCTCTCCTTTTAGGCTCAGTCAGGTCAAACGCTGCGCGGATTAAACTAAAACAGTGAGAAAAATTATAAATCTACATAGGATACAACAATTGATATTTTTAAAAGTAATCTTAAAATTAAAATTCTTCAAGTTCTACAAACATTAAAGTATTACTAAGTGGTATTTAGGGAATCATGAGGGATGTTTTAGGTTCCTCCTTGTTTCAGCTTTAAATTTAGACTCACACAGACAACTATACTCAAAGACATTAGATAAGGAGAAATTATTCATGTTTCTCATTAAATGTTTAACAGGGGTATATCGTTAGAGGACAGACCATGCATCTTCAGCCTATTCTGCCAGCAACTATGGCTAAAAATGTCCCACTAAGAATTACCTTCCTGCTAGAAGTCAGTTTAAATCATGCCTGACCTTTTACAGGAGTTAATTGTGCACAAAGAGCTGTAGATGCAATCAATCCCACAAACAGAACATGTGGATTTCATTTCATCTTAAAGGTTTATTTTCAGGTTGATTTAGTCCCTTTTATAATATTAAAATGCATGTTTGTTTTATTAATTTTGCTTATTACAAACAAAAGTTTTTATTTGTACAGGCAAAGAAAATCTACTTTTTCTATTTTCACTATACTTTTATCCCATTATACGTACACAATTCCCACTGCTAACAAGGTGCTTTGAGTATCTTGATTAGATAGAAAAGGTGTCGTATAAATACAGTCCATTTATCTTTTACAATTTTCTACTAAAAACAAATAACTTTTGCTGTAAGTTCTACACATCACAATTAACATTTAATTATTTTTGTTTGTTTTTTTACAAAAAAAATGTATGGTACAAACTGACTGCAAACACCATTACTCAATATTAGGTACTACGTGTATTCAATAAAACTCAAGAAATAAATTAATAAACAAATGTGTTATCTCTGCAGAAATTAGTAAAAGGTTTTAAAATAACACATAAACATAAAGTCTAACTTTTTTAAGTTGTTTTAGTTAATTGTCTACCAGTGCATCCCTTTCTAATAAAAAGAACTACAAAAAACCACAACTGTGGTTCTCCAGTGAAAACTCCTTCAGTGTGAAAACAATCCTGATGCTGTTACTCTCTCGGTTCATCTTTTTTGTTGTTGCATCTTTGAGACGTTTTCCTCTTCCTTCACCAAACTCTACACATCAGAAGTATTTTTTTCATGACAATTCTACCATGTACATCCATGAATGCACCATTCTCTGACAACTCTCTCAGACTGCATCAGGATGATCACAGCGTTCTAGTAAATGACTACCACCGCTTCAGGTATCACACATTTGCAACACTGTTTTGATAATCTAGTCATGATCAGTGGAATTTTCCTGTATATATGGAGAGGATTCTGGGCCTCCATCAGTGTCACAATTGCTACACTTTAGATTAATCTTCAGCCACCCAATCATTTGAGGAAACTACAGCATACTGTTAAGCAGTATCAAAACTAGAAAATATAGTTTCCTCTAGAGCCCAACCAATAGCCTCACAGCCTCAGGGATGTGTGCTGAGCCCTCTCCTGTTGACTCCGCTCACGTATGACTGTGCACCTACCCATCCACATTGTAAAGTTTGCAGATGATACAGTGGTGGTGGGATGCATCACAAACAATGACGAGTCCAGCTACAAGCAGGAGGTGGAACACCTGGAGAGCTGGTGCAAGAACAGGAAGAACAACCTTCAAATCAATGTGAGGAAGATGAAGGAGACGACCGTGGACTTCAGATGGACCCCCCCCCCCCCGAACATAGGAGGATCTGCAGAGAATGTGGTCTCCAGCTACAAGTACTTGGGAGTACACATGAATGACAACCTCATCTGGAGCAGCAACACTACCAGCCTGATCAAGAAAGCTCATCAGAGACTCTACTTTCTCAGGCGACTGAGACGAGCTGGTCTGGGAAGCTCAGTCCTCACCTCCTTCTACAGGTGTGCAGTGGAGAGCATCCTGTGTTCCAGCATCAACATGTGGCATGGAAGCTGCACAGCTGCAGAAAGAAAAGCTTTGCAGAGAGTGGTGAAGGCTGCACAAAAGACTGTGTTGGAATCAGCCTCTCCCACCTTGACAGACATCTACACCTCCAGATGCAGGAAGAGGGCTACTTGCATCATGAAGGACCCCACTTACCCAGCACACACACTTCTTGCCCTGCTCCCCTCAGGAAGGAGGTTAAGGAGCATTAAGTGTAGAACCACTAGACTGAGGAACAGTTTCTACCCTGAGGCTGTTAGACTCACAATTCTCTAACCAGAATAATCCCTGTGAAAAACCAGATCATGTTGCTGCTGATCTGTTTCATGTTGCTGCTGATCTATGTCATGTTGCTGCTGATCTGTTTCATGCTGCTGCTGATCTGTTTCATGTTGCTGCTGATCTGTTTCATGTTGCTGCTGATCTGTTTCATGCTGCTGCTGATCTGTTTCATGCTGCCGTGTTCATTTATCCTCTTCTGCTCACA